GGAAGGGCCTGTTGCCACCGCGTTGCTGGCCGATGGAGCTGTGGCTTCAGCCAGTTTTTTGTGGAGGTCGCTGACCTCAGCTTGAAGGCGATCGACCCGCGCCTGCAGTTGCCGCGACTCCTCCGTCGCCGTGCGCTGCACCAGCTCCGCGATAATGCCGTGCATGCTGGCAGCACGACATTTGAGGGCTTTCTGGAAGGTCCCTTTCAAGTTTGAGGACTTAGAGGCGACCTCCACTATCTCCTCCTTGTCCTCCAACGCCATTTGTGCTAATTCAGCAACCGAATGGTCCGCGTACAGGACGTTGGACGCCCCGTAGCCGGCCCTGGACCTCGTGGCGCTTGTTGCGCGCTCTTTGGCAGCGACCTTCTCCTCCAGGTCCTTCTGCCCCTCCAGTCGTCTGGCTTGGGCCAGAGACGCCCTCAGTTGGCGTTGAGCCTCATCGAGCCCCACGTCGTGGGCACTGGATTTGGCCTTCACCTTCCGTTTAGTCTTACCGAACGACTCCAATGAGTCGTCCGACTCGAGCCTTACGTAGGCCCGCTTTAGTTCATAGCGGCTGGTGGCCGCCTGCGACTCAGTTGTGGACTCCTCACAGTCCGACAACTCGTCCGCCCGACAAAACAAGCTAGCCGCAGATGGTGCGCGGCTAGCGTCCGACAACATGTCGGTTTGGCCCTGAGAAGGGCCGTTTGATTGGCCCTGAGAAGGGCCGTTGGGTTCGCCCTGAGAAGGGCGTTTTGACAGGAAGCGCCCGGAGGCGTCCCGCAGAGGTTTCGACATAGGCGAAGACGACATATTCGTACAAAACCGCAAAAGAAGACGTACGAATTCACAGCGCTCGTTAGCCGCCGGTCTGCCACTCCGTTACGGTGGTCAGACACGGCGTTGCCCGGGGATCACTACGAGGAAGTCAGCACTGTGGGGGGATCCCCAACCTAACCTAACCTAACCTAACCTAACCTAACCTCCGATAATATGTAAGTCCGAAAGGAATGTTCAGTGATGTGAAATGTACAGAGGGTTACCTGATGGTAAACAATTGGCGCCGGCTATGGAGACCCCTCACTCATACGGAAACAAAACACAAGTGTTGTTTTAACCCTTTGAGTACCGTCATTATAGACACAATTAAAGAACAATAGGTTGCAGTCACCGGTGTCCTCGCGGTGTTTGACAGTTAAAGCTGGATTTCAGTTAAGCCAGCCGACATCATCCTCCGATTGAGCCGTCTCTTGCCTGAATCTAAATAAATCGGAAAGTGAGTTTGTTTTCTTGTTCCACTTTCACGCCGTAACTACTGAACCGATTGCTTTGAACTTTTGCAGACGTAAAGTTAGAAGTCCGGATTAAATAATAGGGTACTTTTTAACCCGGAAAAAATTGATATTCCCGAGGAAAAACAAAAGTATTGGTATAGATGGCGCTGTGTGTATTGGTATATGTCACATAGGCTACTTTTTATCCTTTTGTGACGCGAGCGAAGCCGCGGGTAAAAGCTAGTATTCTATAATTATGTTTTCTCATTCTCTTTTTTCTATACTTTCAGCTTCCTGATGTCATTCTACGACAAGAGAGGCAGAGACATCGCGAAGGGTGGAGTGACACGTTTCCCTGCCACATAAAATACTTGTTTAATTAATTTTATTTAAAATTTAAGTAATTAACTCGTCGAGTACCGGTTTTATAGACACAATTAAAGAACAATGGGTCGCGGTCACCGGTGACCGCTTGGTATTTGACAGTTTAAATATCTTATGATACTTGAACAACAAGTTAGGCTATTAATATTTTAGATTACAAAATTATAATCATACAAATATATATAGTTATGTTTCACAAATAAATATTATTACTATAAAAATAATACCTGTCTTTTTTCATCACTTTCTTGTGTGACATATAATTATAATAACAACTGCCTCGTTGGCCGAGTGGTCGCAAGTGCGACTGCCGGGCAAGGGGTCTCGGGTTCGATTCCCAGGTCGGGCAAAGTATCACTAGGTTTTTAAAAAAAATCTCGCACGGTGTCTGGAATTATGCCCGATATATGGCAATAGGCTCACCTCCTATTACATGGGACTCATAACATAAATAGTGAAAAGTGGGTGTTACATTGTACAGTGGCATAATGTGCACCTCTGCCTACCCCTTCGGGGATAAAAGGCGTGATATTATGTTATGTTATATAATAACAAAACCAGTATAAAATAGGCAACCATCCTCGACATGCACGCCTTAAACATAACTTGATTACTGCAGTTTTCAAAAGTGATTGTAATGTAGTGAATCGTAGTCGATTTGAATGCACAACGATACATACAGCATTTCATCAGTCCGTTTCACTAATTGCCATAAGCCTGAGTTTGCAACATGTAACCAGCAGGAATTTCAATTGGCAAATTCTCTGGAAGCACAGGATTTCTGACTGAGGTCCGTTAATACAACTGCTACGCATACCCATTGTACAAAGTTTACTGAATGCTGATTATTACAAGAATAAATACTGAGTTTTCCAATATTTAGACAATGAAACACTTCATTTATAAAATCATTTATTTATTTATTGCCTGCCTCGTTAGCCTAGTGGCCACAAGTACAACTGCCGGGTAAGGGGTCTCTGGTTCGATTCCAGTGTAGGGCAAAGTATTACTAGGTTATTAAAAATTCTTAGTAGTAGCACGGAGTCTGGAATTGTGCCCGGTATATGGCAATAGGCTCACCCCCTATTACATGGGACTCATAACATAAATAGTGAAAAGTGGGTGTTACTTCTGTGTGCACCTCTGCCTACCCCTTCGGGGATAAAAGGCATGATGTTATATCTCATTAAAATCAATAACCAACATATTAATTTCACAGCACAATAATATTTGATGTTTGCATTACCACCACGTTTCCGTAATAAATCAGTATAAACAAGCATTAATTACAATGCATGGTTAAAATACATCCGTAACAACTATTTAAATAGAAATAAACTCCAACAGTTCAGATTCTACCAACACACACCCCTTCCCCTTGTACAAGGGGGTTCTAGGTGGGGTAGAAAGAGGGTGATCTCCCCCAGGGGGACCGGACTTACCACGAAATAATACACATATAAAAATTACAGGTTTAACTGAAAACCTTTTAGCGAAGCGGACTTTTATTAAAACTCAATCATCGGGCAGGGTTGTGAATATTTACTATAGGTATTTTTAGCTTATAGCACCGTTTGATAGATCATCGTTGCTACCCACAGAAATACTTTATTATATCTGTGTTGCTACCTGTATAAGTGTGAATTATTTTTATGCACTTTATATTCATTCATCATCCACAGCCTATAAATGCCCACTGCTGAGCAAAGTCTCTTCTCACATGGAGAAGGTTTGAGCATTATCACGACGCTTGCTCAATGCGGGTTGGCGATTACAAACTTATAATTAGAGATTATAAGTCCAAGTTTCCTCACGATGTTTTCCTTCACCGTTTGTCAGTGGTGTCTAAGTAATCTTAGAAAGTACATGTAACTCGGAAAAAATCACATTGGTACTAGCCGTTGGTAAGTTTTGAACCTGTCCCCTCATGCATGAAAAGCGGGCTTCTTAAACCTCCGGGCCACCACGACTCTTGACTTTATATTCATTGCAAGATGCTAATAGTTATTATTGTGAAGGTCAAAGCATAACCTTTCTTTACCATACCCACATAAATCGACCAGTCGCAGTGGTGATGTGTCCCCTTTGCAGTGGTGATTTTGTTAAAATATTGAAATGAAAATAGAACGCAAACTAGTTCATACTGTTTTGATTGACATATATTTGATCTGAGAAATAAACTTATTTGTAAACTATTACACAGTTTTAATTTAGAACCACATTTTCCTTCAGATTTAAATGAACCTAAGGCTAAGGATACACGGCGCGATTTTCTCCCACCGAGGTCGTGGGCCCGCAGATTTTTAGAAATTACTGATATGTATGTTAAAAATCAAAGTAATTTACGTCGGCTGCTATCGGATCGCAATAGGATTTAATTGATTGTTTACTGCCCGTCGGTCTTGCGATAATCAACCGCCAAGCTTGCGCGCGATAATCGCAACCGCAGTGGCTGCGGAATCGCAGAAAACTGCGGACTCGTGAGATGAAAATATCGCCTCCATTCCGCCACCGCGGGCGCGGGAGAAGATCGCGCCGTGAGTACTTAGCCTGACACAGCGTACCTAATACGTATTACCTTTCTTTTGAACCGATACTATTGCAAATATAGTTATTGAAAAAAAATGAATGAAACTAATTTCAAGATCTTTGACCCTACAAAGAGTATTGAAACGTTCGACATTTCATCGTCTGACAATGAAGTGTATTTTTGTTGTTATTATGTTCTTTTATATCGAGTATTAGTTAGTCCTAACAATGGGTGGCGTGCCATACGTTATCATAATAGGTCGAAAGCTGAGCTTGTTGTCTCCTTGTCCATTAGTGCTTCCATTAATCTAATATGGTTATAACAGGTAACAAGGGTATTTGTGCATTGTGTCTCTCCTTACGTCTTTGTGGGAAATCCATGTAATGAATAGCCTTGAGAGAATTACTGTTCTTGTTGTCTTCATAACATAACATAACATCACGTATTTTATCCCCACAGGGATAAGCAGAGGTGCACACAGAAGTGACACTCACTTTCCACTATTTATATTATGAGTCCCATGTGACTCAGTGCTACTTCCGAGATTGTTTAAAAATTTATCAATAAATAAAAATCATTTATCAATATTAAATAAAAGTTAGGTGCCCAAATACTCAAACGCCACTGATGTTTAAGACGCGCTTAAGTAGGTATAGTTACTCTACAATTTTGTAAAATGACAGAGATGGCACGATATTTAAGTACAACTTAAAATTCAGTAGCCTTTTAGTATTCGGGCGTTAATTTCAGTTGTGGCTACAGAATTTATTGCATCGCAACATCGATACTACTACTACAATTATCATACAACTAAATTATTCTAACATTCATTGTTCTTCACAATTTTCTTTATTAACAATAGCTTTTAAAACACTCTCTCTGACGACTACTCCTTCTTCATCAATCCACGTGACTCCATTAATGTCTTTCCAGATCCCACTCTTTGTCATCTCATTATCAATTATCTCTTCTTCATCTTCTTCCCAAGACACAGATTCATGCATAACATCCACTACTGAAACTGCTTCTTCTTTTATCTTAAGTTTAGGTACGCTTTCTTCTACATTGTCTATAATGCCAGTAGGTTCAGAGTCTTCATCAGTGTTGGATTCAATTTCAGCTTCTATTTTCGACTGCTTTCTTTTTATTCTCTCCGCTCTTGCCTTCCATCTCTCTAAGTTCTTCAAAGCCATTGCATACATAGGCCTTGTGTTTGGTAGTATTCTGTACAGCATGCTGTAGCAAGCTACGCAGATTTGACTGAGGAAACCGACCTGTAAACAAACAAATAAAACATTTGTATGAAATAAACAATAGTTATGCTAACTTGTGTTATTTTTGTGTATGCTCAATGAGCAATACTGGCTGTTATTATTGTTGTTACAACTGCATGTTCCCATAATGCAAATTGTTTTCTGACCCCTCAAAATAAAATTATATTTTCGACCACTAAAACAGTGTAAATCGGCAAACCGCATAGGGAATGCCCTAGGGATTACAGCCCAACCCTCCTAGGGGTGGCAACTGCCGCGGAAAACATCATCAACTGATTATTTTTAAATAATTTTGATAAACATTAATTAAGCCTTAACAACTACCGAACGTAAGCTTATTATGAAAAATGGAGGTAGAGAAAATATAAGCAAATAAAATCTATTAAGTAGTTAAGCGGCCACACAATGTAAATAAATAATAATAGGGAGCACTCATAACTTTTATCAACATGTATTGCGAAACTTTTGAAGATTATAAAAGTTAATAATAGACGAAAAGTTCTGGCAGAAGCACAATACATTGAAAATAAACAGATTTTATAATCTACTTAATGTTATAATTTTGAGGAAAACCGTTTTGAAATGAAATAAGTTTTAATAAACATATTGTTGTTAAAGGTTGTCTTAACAAATTTTTAAGTTAGTGTTTAGTTTAAGTTTTTGTGTGGGAGATCCATGCTTCATCACAAATTGGGATGATGACAGGGTATGAAAATAAAAATCAAATTAGTCCGAGGCAATGAAAAAATATTTATTTATTTTGTCGTATAATAAAACAATACTTAGATAAAACGAATCAAAGTTTAGGAGTGGGGGCTAAAACGTCATTTTTACGTATAAAATGTACATAGAAATGACACGAATTTGAAATCAATATATTATTATCGTCGAAAGTATTTGTTTCTGTAAGAAAATAAAAAAAACGTGTCTAATGTTTTAAAATAATCTACCAGACGCACATTAAAATAAAAATTAGGCATCTACCCCTATTGGCCGGCTCGACCGGAGTGCTACCACAGCATCACAGAATAACAACGTGAAATAACGCTTGCGTTGTGTTTCGTCGTGTGAGTGAGGTTGCCAAAGGCACAATTAAATCCTCCCCAATCTTTATAATTCCTGAGTCCTCAAAAACCCACAAATTTCTACTCCTCAATAGGCCGGTAAATCACTTATAACGCCTCTGGTGTTCAGAGTCTCTATGTGCGGCTCATGCAATAAAGAACGAAAGAGTATGTTCTATCAATACATAATACACAAACAAGCATAGAAAAGAAAAAGTTAAAATCCATTTGCAGATTTGTTATTGATACGGGAAGTAAAGGACAGAAAAAACCCAAATGAAAAGTGTTCCCCCCTAGGTCCAGGTGATAAAAATAAACAAAAAGGGCCTTTGAGAGAACGGTCAATTTTTGGATCTGCATGGTACTCAATCAACGAGATAGGTACCATGTCTACGAATGGGAGGATTATTGGATTACCCATACTGTATATTGGTGTTTCAATTAGTAAAGACTAATGGAATGAATCTGTTCATTTCTCTGAATGCATTACGTCTATTAATTGATGTACTTACTAACATTGTGAATGTGAAAGTGTGTTGGTTCGTATTTCTTTCCTTTACTTCTATTTTTTGGTATGATTGGATGGTCTGTATTGGATACAGTGGTGTAAAAGAGTGTTAGATTTCTTTTTTAGTTTCACGATGTTTACAGATTTTTTTTATTATAATTACATTAGATTTTTTTTACTCCACGAACTCTTTTCCGTCCCCTTGTTATTCAGTTACATTTTCTTTTATTTTATAGTCAACTTAAATTAACTGATGTACGAGCGCCTGATGGATATACCATAGCAACGACGTGTGCTTAGTATAATGTTAGCTATTAAGTAATTGTATTATTTTATTTTGTATGTACCGACGCTAATCTCTTCACTTGCTGTGCTGTACCCGTTGAGTTAACACCTCATTAAATTCTACTTGCTGAGCATTCTTTTGAGTCTTTTCCTGCGAAGCCCTGGCCAATACATGGTCCATTACGATCCGGATACATTATATACAGAAGATCAGCGCATATAAACAGAGGATATTGGATATCGAGCAATAAGGATCCAGCGTGACATCGCAATTTTGGATTGGACTAAACTCAAGCAGTAATTAGCGGTGTAAAGCATTTAATTTAAATAATATCGTCACCCAACACTCAGGTAGTATAAGATAAGGTCGTCGTCTTGAATAAAAGGCCAGTATCATTTTTTATAATTTTATCTACCATAGTATTGTGTTCGTGCAATTTGCAGTCATTAGTCATTAGGTACTTGTTACTTGTGATTAGCATTTTTCACAGTTTTAATTAAGTTTAAAATCATACTTAATATAGTATAGTTAGCCTTGCTACATTATTTTGCTTAATTTCCATAAAGCTGTAGCTAATTCACATTTTTAGAGGACTTGTTAATTGTCACGAATAGGTAGCTTACCCGCAATACATTTCATTCGAGTGTAGATATTATTGCAAGTCATTGTTAAAATTAATAAAGTTATTAGTATTCAAAAGGATTATTATCAGTTGTACATGTATTAAATAATAATTACTGCTTAAAATTTGGCTTTTCTAAAGCAAATCAGTTTTATTTTACAACCTTAGAATTGTAGGTACTTGTACAATTAAAAAATAAAATTACATTGTCTTTGTTAACAATTGGATTTCTGGTTTATATACTGGTTTTCTTGCAATATTATTAATTGTATTAATTGCAAAGGTTGTTAATTAGTGTATAAAACAGTTAGGTGTATAAGTAAATTGTATTGTTCATTATTACAAGTAGATCTGTATCAGTTTCAGGTTGACTACACTCTCGTCTTCCAGTATGTCCGAGGAAAGGGATTTAATCAAAAAGCGAGGAAGCTTCAAAGGCCGTTTGACAGCTTTCGTCAACTTCCTGGACTCACTTAAGGACAAACCGTTAACTAGTTGTGATGCTTCTGAACTGCAATTGCGCATGGGCAAGATCGAGTCGTTGTATGAACAATATGATGAGGTACAGTTGCGTCTGGAATGCATGGCCGACGATATAAAATTACAAATTTCTGAGCGTTCTGATTTCGAGTCTCTTTATTATAAATCCCTGTCTAGAGCCCAAAATATTTTGATAGACTTTAATAAAGATAATAAATCGATGGAAAGCTGTAACAGTACACCTGGTAGCATGCACAAACCAGTCAAATTGCCTACGATCCAATTGCCTAAGTTTAGCGGTTTATATTCTAATTGGTTAGAATTTCGTGACACCTTTGCTAGTCTCATTCATACTAATGATGACATCGACGACATCAACAAATTTCACTACCTGAGAGCATCTCTCGAAGGTACTGCTGCGATAGTAATTAAATCTGTTGAGTTTTCGTCGAGCAACTACTCTGTGGCATGGAAGTTGTTACGCGATCGATTTGACAACAAAAGATTACTGGTACAAAATCATGTATCTGCCCTGTTTAATATTGAGTCGCTCTCAAGGGAATCTTCTGTTGCATTAAAGAGTTTGATCGATCAGCTGAATAAAGATTTACGAGCTTTAGAATCTTTAGGGGAGCCAGTAAAGCAGTGGGACACGCTGCTCATTTACATTGTAACTCGTAAGCTTGATCAAAAGACGTATCGTGAGTGGGAAGAGTGTAAAGGTAGGTTAGACAAAACCAGCCCGATTACATTTGAAGTGTTTATGCAATTCTTACGTAGTCGAGCCGATCTAATCGAGACATTAGAAATATCTCGCACAAATAATTCCCAAACGGTAGTTAAAACAGGTCCTAAAATTAAGTCTATGGTAGCTACACAGTCTCCTACTAGTTCTATCACTGAATTAACTTCTAAAGTATGTCCTAAATGTAACAACACTGATCACACGCTAAATACTTGTCCACAGTTTCTCGCTTTAACAAATGATGCTCGACTTAAATTACTATCCAATTATAAAATTTGTTACAATTGTTTTCGCTCGGGTCACTACGCTAACAAATGCAAGAAGCCAGGTTGTAAATTATGCAAACGTAGGCATAACACACTGATTCACACAGATTTTAAAGGCACTATTTCGGGTACACTTAATGATAATAACACTGCTAATAACTTGTCTACCTCGTCTTCGTTACCGTCTGCTTCCACTGAGACAAATAACATCGCGTTATCAGCACATATTGCATCCTCTAGTGGTCATAAGCAGCGAGACGTGTTGTTGTCAACCGCTCTGGTCAAGGTGCGCGACCGCAATAATTGTGTGCATCTCGTTCGCGCAGTACTCGATAGCGGCAGCACATCGTCATTCATAACGAACCGGTTATGTAGACAATTAAACTTACAAACTAGCCAGGTAAATAGGTGTATACTTGGTATTAATAATCTCACGTCCAACGTAGGCAAACAATGTCGATTTAAAATAGAATCGTTAAATGATGACTTTAAATTCGAACTTCACTGTTTTGTGTTGCCATACATTACTAGTAATGTTCCGTGTCGTGAGATAAATATTAGTAACTTTAATATTCCACCGAATATTACTTTAGCTGATCCTAACTTTTATAAGCCCGCTGATGTAGATCTTTTAATTGGTGCTGATCTCTTCTGGGATTTACTAGGATCGCAAAGATTAAGCTTAGGTACCGGAAAACCGATGTTATTCGAGACTCGCCTAGGATGGATAGTCTCCGGTCCAATAACTCAAAACTGTACCTCTAGTTCTTCATTATCAACTAATTTAAAATGTAATTTAAGTAGTACTGTTCCTATTAATTATGACTGGGACAAACTTAGAACCGATTTAACAAAATAGTGGCAACTAGATGAAGTAAACCCGAAATCTTTGAGTTCTTTCATGCCAGAAGGGAAGTCGTGCGAGGAACATTTCGTCAAAAAAACGACACGATTGTCTGATGGTCGGTTTTGTGTTCGTATACTCCTTAAGAACAACCCGTCGGTTCTAGGTGATTCCTTAAACAAAGC